CTTTTAACGTTAAACGATACCTACACCGGTTTAAAAATAGTTTAAATTCATAAATATGGACAAAAAAAACTTATTGATGAAAACAATACAAATATGTCGAGATATCCAGCTATGTTTTAAATTTTTGAAATGATAAAATTTTAATCGTCAATTGGTGTTTAAGCGTAGCAGCAGGCAGGCAGGCGAGCTTTGGCAAACACCTCGGTTATAAAATGTAGTACTAATGGGATTTACATGTACACAAAGCGTTTGAGAATGGCCAACCCGTTTAAAAATAGTGTTCTTTGATTAAACCACGAAAATTAATTATATTTTGATACCTATACGTCCTAATGATATATTAATATTATATAAATATATATTCAATTGTCCCTAAAGGTCACGCTGTTTAGAAACTATCATTATTTTATCATTCGAACTCCTAATAGTTTTCAACAAAATATTTCTTTAACTATTTTGATAAATCGATACTGAATAATAATAATAATAATAACCTACACACGATTTGAAAGAAAAATCAAGACTATGCATTAAATATTATACACTATACTTAACATTGAATTAATCTTTTATGCATTAATAAATAATACAGCGAATATTTTCAAATACGAATTGTTTTCTTATTATTACACGGGTTGTTTTTTGTGCATACATGTCAAGTCCCAACATTGTACATACATAATGTCAGTTATATTATACGACTAAAATATACTTTCCACCACCTTTGATGTAAATATTTCAAAAATGTAAGATTACAGAAGAAAAATATATTTAGATAATATCTAAATATTAGATATTAATATTATACACTAGCTCCTACAGAATTCATAAGTTATAACGTTTTAAACAATTTAAAAACTGACCTCTTATTCAAAGATGTATTATTCTAAGTTAAATATAATAGTTAAATATTATAATGCATATTATACGACGCCTATTATAAATAATAATCATTTCTAAAATTTCTCATGTGTTTTTCCGGTTTGAAAAATAATTTATCGATAAAATTAAATTTTTTTTCTTGTAATTGCACATAATATTATAAAGACGCAAATAAAAATATTACTCATCAATCAAAATAATTTCCCAATATGTGGTCAACCTCCGTTATGCGTACTATTTAACTAAAAATATGAACATATTATGCGGGAGCTAAAGAAATTAGATTCACAGTAATACACAAAGCTTTAAAATCTATACTTATAAAAATAACTTTGTTATACATTACAGACGTGCAGTCTTTTAAATTAACGAATTAATCAATTCGTTAATGTAAAATTTTTACGCAGGTAAATTGGCGCAAACGGGCTTTCGGAAAAAACATACCTTTTTTATTTTGGCGCAAATGGGTAACCCCCAGCTCCAAAACACACTGTATTTCCATATATAGTTGAAAAAATGAACGCACCGCAGCTTCGCATTCTAAAAATATTTTTAACAACAAAAATCCGCATACTATAAAATTAATTAAGAATTAAGATATCGCTATATCGGTGTAAAACCATTTTTAAATTAACTATTATTTCTGCAAAGCCATACCTACCCATATCTTTATCTACGTGTATTCCGTTGTGACTCAAAATACTAACATTTTTCCTATTCTATAGACATTCTGGAACGTCTATTCAACAAAGGCAACCTTTTGGAGGTCCTGATCAGATGATTCAATTTACAAATTTAATGTTTGTTGTAGGGAGCATGGAAAAATATTAAAGGACGCTTTCATTCTATTAATTTAAAAGCTACAATTGTTTTTAAACAAGAATATGAAGTAGACAACAATTGCAATTATGGACTGAGAGAATTAAGGAACCGTGGGTAGTTGGATGATTATGTTATGTTTTGGGAAATAGTTAAATTGATGCAAGATTTTTTATACTCAAGAAAAGAGACAAAGGAACATTGCATGAAATAATTTAAAATGAGATATGAAATAATGTATACTATTTATGATTCATCAAACAATTATATTTATAAATTGGTTTATTTTTAAGGTATTACCGGATACCACAGTTAATTCTAATTTCTGGTTTGGATAAAAAGACATACATATTAAATATATCTGAAAAAGCTATAAAACACAGTGTTCGGAAACTGATGCTAATACACAAAGAAATGTGAGTCTTTAAAAGTTTCTTAGTCTTTAAACTAAAAATTGTTAAGGAAATATGTGGTACGAATGAAGACTTATTTAGAGGGATACTTGGCTGAGTATTAAATAAAACAGGTAAATTGTTGATTCTTCCTTAAGATAGATATGAAATTATGATTTTTGGATAATCCGTAATATCAATAATAGTTATACTTAAAGGTACTTGTTTTTTTCTTTATTTTATCCTATATTGCATGTAAAATCATAGTTTTAAGATATTTAAATTTATTGATAAATTAAATTTTTTTTTATTAATACTTTAAATATTAATAAGGTGGACCAAGTCTATTTTGGTAGACCGAATATTGAAAATAGGTAGTCTTTATTACTTAATTAATACATAGCTGACTTAATATTTAATTTAAAAAAAAATAAAATTAATTTACCTTAATAATTTAATATCACATAATATTAAAACAAATGTAGCAAAATTCTTTGACACTAAGTGTTTTTTCGTAGTAAAAAAAAAATATTTTACGTTTCTAGTATTATAGTATATACGGACATATTAACAAATACTCACTTAACGACCAAGTTAATCGTACAATAAGAGTAAAAATTGAAATTAATATTGAAATAACTAATTCGTTCAGTTTCTATGAGTTATTGAATTTGCTCTAAATAATTATTGAGATAAGAAATTTTAAGGCGCGCCCACATATTATGCAAACATTAAACCAGCACACGCACTTAATCATAATATATTATTATGATGTTTGCAAACATTACATACTACACACACGTTCGCCGTACACATAGTATTTGGCAGTTTTGCTATTACTATTATTCCATGAATGTAGAAATAAAGATTATAAACTCAAAGTAGATCAGTTTCGGTGTTTATGCAGATAGGTCGTGTTTTATTCAAAATCAATCATCGATATTGTGATGAAATAATTACTATTGCTGCGTATATTGTCATGAGTAGTATAATATTCAAAAACAAAAATCGAAAATTAAAAAAATAGTCTCCGGTTTTGGATCAGTGAAATTTTTAAAAATAGAGTTCGTTATAGTAGGATAGATTAAATGATTTAAGAATGAATAAAGCTATTCATTTTTCAAATTTCTGTCGAATGAACAACACTACAACAGTGGTTTTGAAATATCACTTAAATTAATTGGACTAAAGATTGCAAAGTGATTCGCACTTCAGAAAAGCTATGCACCTACAAAGTGACATCTGACCGATAAAATATCACCATCGAGCATACAATACATGAAAAACCCCGTCCAAGAGTGGTTATTAATGTACCGCTTTTATCGCTATCACGAAATACGCGTGTACGCTGTGTGAACCTACTATACGCTAATACGCAAATACGTCCAAATTATCTGTTTTTCGCGTAGTCGATGAATTTTCGTGTACTGTATTTCATGTTTGCATACTACGTGGACGCGCCTTTAGATTTATTATAAAAATAGGTAATTGTTCTAAAAGTAATCATTCTTAAATTAGGTATTGAAAATAAATAACAATTATAACTTAAACAAATACATTTTTCCGATTAATGTTTAGTACTTTAATAGGTACTTGTACTTGTCTCGATAAGGCGTGTTATCTAAACTGCCAATTTTCGAAATAAATTACTAAATAATTCAACTTGAAATATTAATCTTATACACAAACAGACTTAATTTTAACTGCTTAAATTTAAAGTAAACCTAAATGATGTAGTAATTTCTCCAATCATGACTTAACAGACATACACATTTAAAAAATAATTTGATAATAAAAATAGTATGTTTTTTATTTTTGTAACCAATTTATATTTTAGTTGTAAGATTATTTTATTATTTACATTTACTAATCCACAAAAATAAATGTCATTTAAAATGATACAGCATATTTAAATAACATTATTTTTACAATAACAATCATTGAGTCAGTTAGTCAACTAACTGTTAATACTGTTAACTGTTAACTAACAATTAGTACTTAATAATCGAAATGAATAACAATAATTATTACTAATAATATTTGATACACATTGCTTAAGGTTAGCGATTTAACAGAAGTACGTGATCATTACAATGCACTAAAATTCTATTTATCTTTCAAAATAAATTTTTATATTTTATAGTTGAAGTAAATTAATACAATGGATCTCAAATGTTTTTGTTGAAGTAGTCCATAAGTTGTTAAAAAATAAAAGGTGCCCCAAAAACCAAGAATATCAATTTTGAACAAAAAACAATGATAAATCATGATGATTATTATTCATAAGTCTTAACAATATAACTAATAACACCGAAATTGAAAAATTTATAAAATCATAAGAAAAATATGATTAAAATAGTAACAACGAAATGTTTAAACTTGATTTTATATTATTTTAAAATTAAAATTAAATAAACATCTCAGACTTAATTGCTTTTGGTCCGTTCTATTTACCAAGTAAATGTTATTAATATGTATGTAGTCATGTTCTTAAAAGAAAAACCAGTTTAAAAACGTTAGGTATTTTATTCCTTTTTTTTGCGTCAATAGTGAATAAATGCCTACTGAATGTTACACAAATAATTTTATATATCCTACTTAACAAGTAACAATAGCAATCAATAATCATGAACTACTCACTAAACTTATTTTAAGAGCTACTAGCAACTAGCAAGTATTTAATTGTATGGCACAATTATATAGCTATTATATTTGCCATCGTACAATATTCTTTTTAATTATTTCTTCAATACTTTCAAAAAAAAAAATTATCTATTGGAACCTATATGACCAATGCCCACAAATGACGAAGTGGTCACATTAAGTCATTAATTACACTATAAGTAATGACAATTAGTTGATTTTTTTAAAACGTAAAAGTAAAAAACAAATAAAAAAATCACTCACTCTTTGATTTAACCATTTTAACTTCTTTAATTTCCATCGACGAAATCGTTGCATCCTATCCAACCGTTCGATTTCTTTCGCTTCGATGTCCTTGCGCACCGCATACGATAGATGGGCTTTCTGGACCGGAGTCAGATGACTCAGCGCAAATAATTTTAAAAAGTTGATTTTCATCTTCAAATCGCCCAAAATTAAAAAATATAAAATAATAATATAAACTATTAAATCTGTAATTTACAACAAAAGTGTCTGCGATGGTGAGGTTTGCTTGTGAGTTCGACACCCCTTCACTCCAACACTATACTACTGCAATTTCAACGCACTAACCCAGTACACGCACAATCCGAACACGAAGAGACGAAAAAATATAATAATATTATTATCATCGTCAAAATTCCAGAATTTACGTGGTGTATTGGTTTGGTACTGTGTTAGTGCGGTGTAGTTGAAGTATTAGTTCGAAATTCCAAAATAACTGATTAGTGATTACCCGAATATCATTCGAGCGTACCGGTTCGGTCCATCGTCATTAACTGATGGAACAGGAATGGAAGGAGCGTTTTTTCCAAAATAAATTTATTTTTACATCGCCGCTGTTCGAGTTTACCTTAAGCGCGTGTTGCAATAACCAATCAGAACGCGACCGACGAGTGTTTAAAATAAAATTCTCAGATATAAAATTATTACCTAAATCACAATAATGACTGCTTTATACAATATTGAATATACATAGATCGTAAATTCGTGAAAATCGTGTTTATCGGTTCTACTTTCAACTTTGTGGTTATTTTGTCCGATGACATAGTGTTACTGTGTTGTAGGCGTTGTAGCATATCTACTCGTAGATATTTTAATATTATTATTAATCAACTACCGATTAAGTACAACGATAAGATTATCGATATCGGAATTGAAAAGTACCTATGAAAAAAAATAGTATCTACCCAACCACACCACACCAGGCACACTGACATGTAACAGTATTGTTTTAAAAGCTAAAATGTAAATGTAGGCAATAAATTATAGGAACCTACCATGTTATCTACCATGAATCATGATATATATATATTTTATAATTTTTATGTCCTGCTTACATTCACAGCAAATCGAAACCATCGCGCGCGAATAAGGGGATACTGGAACTCTGTCCTTCTTAAGCCAACATATTCGAATTTTACCAGATCCAATCAACGCCATTACATTATTAACTAATCTAGAAATAAACGTTAACGGTAAAATACTAAATACCTACATAATGCATATATTATGAAATCGTAACTATATTAATATGTAATATTTAAATTGTAGTTAATTATTAATTTTGAAAAAACTCGTTTTTACATTATAGTTTACCTATCGAAAAATTAATTTATATTATTTTTAAATTGTTTTGTAAATGTGTATAATTATTAAAACAAAGACTATACACTTAGATATTACAATTAAAAATGATGCTTCCGATCTAATATTCATTGATAAATCATTTTTGTGTAGTGATTGGAACGAATGCAATTCGACGTTATGACCTTCACGGGGCGAAAAACTAAGTATCAAATTTAATTTGCCGGATGATGCCGACGGATATTGTCTACGTCACCAACGCATCGTTTACGATCGACAAGGATTTATACCGTTGTACCGTATCGCACCTAAATAATAATAGTAATATGATATGCCTGAAAAAAAAATAACAGACGCGGCAGCAAAGTAAAATATGAAATATAACGATGACGAGAGTACCCATTATTTTTTCAGCATAATATGTAAATAATAACAGTGGCAATAAAATTAATAATTACGACCCGAAGAAACGAAAAAAAAAATTTTACGACACATCACTATCACTAAGTAATGCAAATATTTTTTTTGTTACTTAGTCTGTACCGAGTTCGGAGAACACAACTCGAGAGAGAATGTATTAAGTAGTGTACATTATTCTAGACATTTATGAATCGCTTTACTGCTGTTTCTATCTAATAATTTTACAGGAAATGCAAACACTAACACTGAAACATGCAAGGTATTACAATTTTACTCTTAAGAAAATAATGAATTGTTTTTAAAATATTGTAATATATCTCATTGTACTAGGTGTTATGCATAAATGCATAATATAATATCATTAGCAAACTGTTATTATTCCACTCAGAATTTAAAGACATTTATTATTTATACAGTTAGCCTTAGCCTTGTTAATATTAGGAAGATGTCAATGAGTATACTGCCTATTTATTTTAGTATTTTTATTATTAATTATTAATGTTTTTACACTTAATGATTATAAAGGAAATATCCCAAATTTTTTCTTAAAATTTCTACAAAACTATAAATAATGCCCTTTTAATAACAATAAAAAAAACCATACTAAGTTGTGGATTTTAACGACGATCACGTCTTGTTCTTCTGCAATAACTTTTGTAAACAATAATTATACAATTTACTGAACAAGGCATAATATTTAATGTTATATTTTAGGGGCCGCCGACTGGATGAAAGGAAATAATACTCTATCCTCCTTACGCCTTGTATCTATTTGAATGAACATTTTGTTTTACTCCTGTAATCTATTATCACCTGATGTATATTTATAAGGTACATAATTTATCATAATTTTATTACCATGTATCTAAATAAGTTTAACTATACAAATAAAAACAAAACTATTTTAATAGACAACAGATAAATAATTACAAATGTTGTAAATAGGTTTATGGGGATAGAAATATTTATACGTTTTAATGGATATTAGATAAATAGGTATATAGTCATACTTTATATATACAAAACAAATCTAATTCGGCACTAAGAGGCTAATGTATATTGCGTTTAACATCGTTATAACTTATAGAATATCAAATATTGTACATGAATACATGATAGACAAAATGAAAACACGAAAATTAAATATTTATTACTTCCATTGAGATTTAATATCTTTTAAATATCTGATTTTATAATTTATATAGTATTAACTATTATTATTCTACATCATAACGTATCACAATAGGTACACAGATTTCGAGCGAATTTTTTCTTTGTAAAACTGAGAATGCTAGTATAATTTATTTTATCGATTACATTTTCACATGCCAATATTTGCCTCATTAGCATTATATATGAGTAAATAATGATTGATCGATATCGAAATGTAGTTATGTGGAGATATTACACTTGTCCAATGATAGAAAGGTTTTTGTAATTTTAAACCGTTTATCTAAAATTTTATGTTTAAAATGTATTATTTTTTAATGCATTTGAAAGGTAATCGGAAAATCTGTGCGTTTGAATTTATTTTTGCGTTTAGTGCCAAAATTAATATTTGTTGTTCGATCGTTCAAGATAAAGAAATATTTAGAGTATTTGAGTATAAATTATAATTATTGTGGTCGGCGTAACCCTGATATTATCAATTTAACACAAATTATATTTGACATTTGTATCGATAACCTGCAATACTCGTCTAATCCCAAGAAATACCTTTTGGTGGATGGAATGAGTGATCAATATTTTTATTAATTGACAAAACTTGATAATTTTACTAGCTGCGTAAACTTTCTAATGTATGGTTTTTAATATTTTAAGCTATATACCATCATTTAAATTTTTTTCACACACACACATTCGACCGCAGTAGAGGTATTTTATTATTACCTATAAAATAAAATATAATTTAAATTATATTTAAAATATTAAACGACGTTCATCCAAAATATTATCTTATGGATATCGTGGTTTATTAGTCATTATTAGAGTCAGGATGTTGATGACCTAAATAACACACAAAAATGCCCCATAAAAACTTCAAAAAATGAACTTAAAAAATAATCTAAAAATCTAATTAAATAAGTGAAAAATATTTATTTATAAATAATTATTTTTATTAGAGATATGGGTGTGATAATGGGTTCAGAGTAATTTAAAATATGAATTATAATATTAATAAATAATAATAAGTATACATTTACACATTTTTTTTCATTATATGAAATTATTAAAAATAAATTAGAAAATAAAATATAAATAATTATATTAAAAATTTCTCATTAATATTCATATTGCATTGTTGCACTGTATATAATTAAAATGCATCTAATGTTTTCAATGTTTAACACTCTAACAAAAAATATTATTGGTACGTGATAAATTTAATCACAACAAAAATCCCACAATAATAATATTAAAATTATTTATTTGGACATTATACAAATTTTCTTTAAAATCTGAAATTTGAGAAAAATGCCCTCATAGTGTACAAAAACTACAAAAAATAACCTATAAAATGAAAAAATGACTTAAAATTTTTGAAAAATGATGTTAAAAAACAAAAAATGCATTTATAGCTAAAAATGCTTAAAAAAATGCAAAATAAAACTAGAATATTTTGAATCAAGGGAACATAAACTAATTTTTAGCTAAAATAGCATTGTATAGAATCAAAGGAAAAAAATTCAAAAGTCATCAACATCTTAACTCTAATCATTATCAGCAAAATGGCCAATGTTTATTGCTCTGGATACCAATTTTACTTCAGCGCCAATCGAAGAGGAAAGAACTCAAATTAAACGACTAGTCATCAAAAACCACGTTCATTTTATTGCATGTTTATCAAACAAGTATAATTGAGCAAGGTATGAAGGCGAAACGAATGAGAAACGATGTAGTACTATTTTAAGTAGGTTACCAGACAGACAACACCTTACAATTTACATCACTTTATATTATCAGTTATTACTTTATGAGTTAACACGTACAAATATGGCAATGAAAACAAAATTTCAAATCGAGATTGATAAATTATGATTTATGATTTTATACAAGATTGGTCGCAATAACAATTATTAATAAACTAAGATTGATTGTAATGTTTAAGGTATATACTCGTAGTCATACATTATTATGCTTATAAGTTATAATGCACCAACGCTGTTTTTGACCAACTACTTTTCTTTGTATAAAGGTTGATTTTATTTTACATTTTTACCCCATTATTGAACATTAAGCATTATATAAGTATTACGATTGGTAAAGCTTCAAAAGTTGTTGGATGATTTATAAAATAAAATACCAAACAGTTGACAATTTATTCAATTAGTTCACAACTAGATGTCCTCAGGCATTAGGTATGTTTTAACTTTATACCTTGAACGTTTGTTAAATCTATACTAAGATATGGCCAGTGATAGTATGGCATCATCCTTATTTGGCAAATAATACAATTATACTTAAGAGGACGCTACCCTCACAAGTGTTGTTTTCGCTTAAAAACATATAATGTAGTAAATTTGCGTTGGGTAGAACTAATTGTGTGTAGTTAGCTTTAATATAAATTATGAAAGTATAAGGTAAAAATATTATATTTTTTAGATAATTTTTTTTATTAAATATAAAGTAAGTACACTAATTTTTTTATTTTTATTTTAAATGAATATTTACAAACGTACACTAATTTATAATTATTTATGGCAATGCTGCAGTAATATTATGTGATTTTATTTGTTTCCAAAATTGTCTTCTAAAGTTCATTAATAAAAATAAATTATTTTTCCTTAGATTTGCATGAGTACCAAATAACTCGTTTTCATATTTTGATTCTTTTCTCACAATTTTTTTTTCTCCTATAGGTCTATAAACGAGAAATTTTTTTAAAATTATGTTACACATAACCCCATTATAATTAGAATATATCTTTAATATGTATCTCGAAGTTTCACGAAATTCGATAATATCATACAATGATTTAAATATTAAATACTTACACTGTTATAAGTCAAGTATAGACCTGTATGAAACTGACAATCTTTATCAAAAATTTGTTTTCCATTGTTTTAAAATGATTTTGTTACGATAATTGTTAACATAATATTTAAAAACATTTCGCAACCGTTGTAAATGTTCGTGTATAACTGATATCGTATGACTCGCTATCGATGTATTCGAAATGGTTATTTATAATAGTAATGTAAATTAATTCATTTTTTCGCGACGCGTAAATTTTTTTTTTTTTTTTTGGTTTGATGAAATCATCAGAATAATATGAAACTTCGGCAAAATATGCATATACATTAGTTTATCTGGTATAGATGATGTAGTATATAGTTGACAGTAGTTATTCTTGGAATTTTTTTTGCCCATAGCGTGACACTATGTGTGTATATATTTTCTACAGCACGTCAAAACCATTTACTTTCTACTCACCTCGTCGAACCATCCGAATATATGTGCAACACGACGTGACATTTTAAAATGACTAAAATAATTATAATATGTTATATTATAATTATTATAGTTATATGAAAATAATTACGTGATGGATTTACATTTGTGGAAAGGATAGGTTTATCGAACAATCCTTTAAAATAATAGGTATGATTTCGGGTTTTTTGATTGAATGATAAAACAAAATTCACTCACACTGAAGTTTATTTTACTTTTCAAAAACAAACTTTATAAATTAATAATAAATACAATATCATATACGATTTCTTTTTAAATTATTGCTTTTTTGCTTATTAATATTTTAATCGGAGTTCAAACACACAATAGAACTACGAGATAAATATCATAATAAATTTATTTAAATACAGATAATGATTAATATTGCTTTAGCACTGTCTATATAACTATACAATTTCAGAAATTATAATTAAGGTATACATTCGCGTTTAGTCTATATAAATAAAATGTCGGCGTCTGTAATAATGGTATATAGGTAATAGTAATAATAATAATAATAATAATAATAATAATGGGACAAACTTTAACCAATATGTATAACGACTAGTATCACTTGCATAAAATAATAACCACAAAAAAAAAAAGATAAAATATGCCAATTTACTACACAAGTTATATTATAAATATGTTATGTAGCTATGTACATAAAATAAAAATGAGATAAAAAAAATGTTTACAGTCTGGAAAAAATGTATCTAAATAGGTAAATAATAATTGTTGGTTAAAAAATTATAAACCTTCATAATATAATGATTTTTTTTGGAATAAAGAGGAATGTACAGAGAGGAAGAAAAGGGATGTGTCTTACACAACTAAAATACTATAACTAACCACGTTTGTTACCGATACGTTATTAAGTAATATTATGGCTAAATAACGTCGAGAGCTCAGTACATACATTTTTACACTATTATTATATTAGTTAATTTTATTAAAATACACTTTTGCTCGACTAGATTTTTTTTTATTCTTTATTTTATCGTTTTAATTTTTTTTTTTTTTTAAACTGACAATTAATAATAATAGTGCAGCCCAAAATTGACGAATAATAATAATTAATAAAACAGTGCTTTATAATGTATATAATATTGTACATGAAATACACTCACACACACATACACACACACGTACATATACAAATGTATAAGTATATTAATAAAACCTAATATTACTAATATATAATTAAACATTTCTAGAAGTCTATAATTCAATAAATCGTATTATACATTAAGGTCAGCTATAGGATAACAACCCCGTTGATACGTAGTAATAATAATATTACTCTTGGTATAGGTATTATTTTATACAAACATATTTTATAATTTAGTTTTATAGAAATATTATAGTATGTAATATATTATGTTAGTGCAGTCACATCAAAATTACAATTAATGTTAAACAACGAAACCGCGTGCCCCTTCCCCCGGGTGTGACAAAAACAAAATATATAAAATAAAAATGAAAATATTGTAGTGAGTAATACTCTTAAAACTAAGTAAACCAATATTATTTATAATATGGGGGGAGGGTGTCTATACAGGTTATATTATTTATTCAGATTTTATTCTCCGGGATAATAGACCTTAGTCTTCATCGAACAAGTTCTAGAGATTGACAAAGGCACGCGCGCGTGTACGTTGGGTTGCGTGTCAATCAGGCGATAGACTTCAGTATGACACAGTCGGAATTACATACGGTAAGAGAATAAGTACGAGCGCAAGTAGAAAGATTTTCTTGCCGAATAATGTTTCCGACAGTTGCAGGAATTCCTGTAAAAGACGAAAATCTTATGCGAAACAAAAAGAATCTTTAAATCCGTGAATGTCGAATGGACGTTTACTCGCGATATGGTGAGCGATAAAACGCAAATTCGAGACGTTCGCGGGCACGCGTACCGAAAGAGGAACACACAAAACGGAAGAAAGAAAAATTAAGTCATAAGTCATAAAATAAAACTACCATTAACGCGGTGGTGGTCGACATAGATAACATGGTAAAAAATTCAATCGATATCATATATATATTTTTTTTTTTTATCATTGATGCCGAGCTCAGTAATGGTTGTTTTCTTTTAGAAAAAGGTGGGGTGAAAATTATATTTGTCGTAGACGTCAAAAATGACTTAAGTGACCGACTCAGTATCGAAAAGAAAAAATTGCATAAGCGTTTATTTTTTTTCGATACCGACTCTATCCGTCTCGTCTACTACACCACCGACGATACTTCAACTATACTACTTAACTTACCTATAACACTATAACTACGCTAAAGATATACAACGGAACCGTAACCGTTTCAGTGATTAACAGATTTAAGTACAATTTACGTTCTTAAAATAAAATTAATAATAATAATAATAATAATAATAATAATGATATTATTGTAGATGCTCGACGGCCAATCTGCAATAATATCGACTAAAATTTAATAAGGCAACAACGGTCAGCCAATAACACGATTGGTGTAGAATAATATATTGCAAAACGCGTATTTTCTTATAATATAATTTTAATAATAATAAATACTTAACACTATATTATAATGTCGTCTGCCGACGACACGCTCTCCCTCTCTCTCTCTCTATGTATAAAGTTATAATAAGAATAATATGTGTGAAAAATTATCGTACAAGTGGATCGGACCCGGCTACGGCCTGTGCACGGGTTTCGATCTCTAGTCGCTGCTGCTTTTGATTCCCAACATTTTGGCCGCGTCCTCGGGCGACTTTGTCTGCAGCACCTGATCGATGACAGTGCTATCGCGGATGCCGAGCAGCGTGCCGATCAGTCCCGTGTCTGTCCGGTTGCTACAGCAGTCCTCGTAACCAGTGACCGGACCCCCCGTTGGAGGTGGAGTGTTCGGAGGACTGGCAGACCTTCGTTCGTGGTCGCTACCACCCCCAGCGCTACCGCCTCCGTACTGTTGGTCTTGGCAGCCACCGTGCTTTTTGGCTATGTGCCGGACCATGCTGTGCTTGAGCGTGAACCGGCGCTTGCACGATAGGCACGCAAACGGCTGTTCCTTAGTGTGAGTGCGCATGTGCCGGCGCAGGTCCTCGGCTGAGTAGAAGCGGTGCAGACAGAACGCGCACAGGACCTGAGAAACGAAAAAAGATTTGTAGGTCATGTTATAGCAAATAGATACATAATATATCATGTTAAATTTTGTATAGGGGAAGAAATTACGCGTACAACATGTAACATTGATTTTCATCTGTAAATCGGAATAATTTTTTAAAAATGTCGCATTGAAAAACCTGATGTACGATATAGAACTGCGAATAATTAAGAAAAAATACTAATATATTTAGTATATGAAGTATAGACGATCAGAGTAGTGAACACAACATTTGCAGTTATAACTATCCCTTCTCGTAAAAGAAATTTTTTTTAAAACACTAAAATTGAATTAACTATATAAGTGGATCTCACCTCTGGATATTATATAAAACTACTAATTAGGGCTCGAATTTTATACAACAGTTTTTTTTTCAATTCAATAAAATGATAACTAATTTAAGTATATAGCATAATGAAATAACATCATATTTATGTAAAAATACATACATTCGTTTCGAGGAATTCCGATTCTAGATAAACAAAAATTATTTTTATTTTTTATTAGGAACTTCTATTTTAAATTATAATTTATATTTTTTTACAATAACAAAAACTAAAATTAAATTATTTGTTTCTTACGAAATGTAAAAAAAATAGTAAACAATAAGGATGGGAATAATAATTTGAACTCTTATATTATAATCTGGATATATGTTATGCATGTATGCACGTTGATTTCGACACCATGTCCATATTATTACATAATTATTAAAATTAAACGATAGTACGAAGTGCAACCAACCTTTCTGTTTTCCACGTCGTCTTGTTTGACGGCCGACGAGTCGTGGTCGTTGTCCATGGCCCCCTGTGACACCAGTATCTCATAACATTCGGCGTGGTCAATCCGGATGTGGTCCAAAGCGCCCTGTCTGTCCAGGTAGCTGCTGTCACACAGATGACACTTGAAACACGGTTCGGATCCGGTGACCGTGTTAGAAGGGGTGGTGGCGGCTGTAGACGAGGTGGTAGTGTTGGCCGTAGTGGTTACCGCGGCCGTGTTATTGCCACACCATCCGTTGAACATGGTCATCGACGAGTAGTCACGTTCCGACTCGCCGCCGTCGTCTTCGGTACCGTCGCCGCCTCGTTCGTCGTCTTCTCCCGCACCGCCACTGCTGTTCTTATCGAAGTGCACCCGATTTATGTGGCTGATCAAGTTCTTGCGCTTGGAAAACGCGACGTTCGGGCACGACGTGCACTTGTACGTGTTCTTGGCGTCAGCCGGCGCCGCGGCGGTCGTTTCGTTGTCAGACGACGCAGCCGACTTGCTAGGTGGCGTGCAGTGCAGGCGCAGGATATGCCGGTCACGGTTAGACTTCGTCGAGAACGACAGCGGACAGTGTTTGCACTGGTACGGTTTTTCACCCGTATGCGTGCGGATATGGCGTTTCAGTGACGAAGTCCACGGGAACGAAAGGTAACAGAACGGGCACAGCACTCTGTTGGGTGCGGCCGCGTATGCACTAACTTTCTTCCGCTTCTCCCGGTTCTCATCCTTGTCTGTGTTGAAATTGATGTCGATATTGTTGTTCGCTGCGTTAATACTGTAGAAATGAAAACAGAAAAAAAATTATTTATGTTATTTAAACTCGTCATTGCACACATAATATATGTATGCGTAAAAGGTCTTATTCGCGTTTTTTCTACGTTTTTGACTTTCCAACTTACCTGGAACCGTCGTTTTCAGAATAACTAGCAGCCTCGCTGTGCTCTTCTTCGCTGCTGGTCACTTCATTATGGTCTTCGTCAGATCTGGTAAACTGCGGAAACGTTTGGTGCGAAGCGTTGTCCAACAATCTTGATACGCTAACCAGATCGGCGGACTCCTCTTTGACCTCGGCACTCTTTTCCTTGACTTCGGTGGGCTTGTTATGCTCTCCACCATCTTCCACTATGACGAGTTTGTCTTCCTCCTCTACTATGTCATCATCTTCTTCGTCATCATCTACTTCGTCTTCTGTTCGTAACAGCTGTTCTGACGGTCGACATTTCAATGACAAGGCCATTTTTACTTGATCCGAAATCGGCGATGTGTCCTGTTGTTCTTGTTTGACGGCCGAGAACTGCGGTTCCGACTTGGACGATAACGACCTTGGTTTCTTGTGCCAATCGGTAGGATGTTGGTTTTTAACGTGTCGATCGCGGTTTGACTTCAATGTGAACGCCCGTTTGCACGTCTCGCAGACATGCGGCCTGTCTGTTCTGAACCGTCTCTGTTTGGGCACCAGAATGCCGTTTTTCATCACCAAACGCAATCCGTTGGCGTCCTTTGTCTTTGGCGCAACTTCCACAGACGGCGGAGCAGGTGGCGGAGGTGGTACGGTCGCAGGTTCGGGTGTGTCAGGCTTTGGCGGGACAACGGTATTAGCCGGTTCTTGTATTGGGACGGGTACCGGTTCATTTATCTGCCGCATTGCGCGGATCATTTCGACGGTGAGTGGTATGGGTAGCATCCGTTCTGCGGCCGGGTACATGCCGTTGAAGAACATACGGTGCTCGTTGAGAAAATACGCATGTAAAGGAGTGGGTAACGGCAGGTCCATAAAGCCAGGTGGGGCATGCGGCACGAATTGCTCGCGGAACGCCATCGTCGCAGTCGGTTTATTGACGTCTTCTTCGTCTGTGTGGTCACCGGCGGCGGTAGCGGCTGCTAAAGACGACGACGAAGACGATGATCTTTTACTATTGATTGACAAATCTTGCGGCTCGCTGTCGAAGTCCTGTTTAAAACGCTTCATGCTCAGGTCTAATGGCTCATCATACTCGTCTTCGTCGTCTTCCGAGCTCTTTTGGCCGGATGATTCATACTGCGAATAGTCCGTCGTCGTCTGGTTGTGGTGCTGCAGACGCAGATGGTTGAACAGTTCTTCATTCTTGTCAGCCGCTGCTTCGTCGTTGGCCGACTGCACTGAACCGGCCGATTTCTCCTCGTTCTTGAACAATATCGACGCCTTTACCTCGGCATTGGACGCTTTATGTATGGTGCGCAGGTGCCGTTCGCAGTTAGCCTTTGTGGTGAACGCGTACGAACACTTTTTGCACACATACGGCGTCTCGCCCGTGTGGCCTTTCATGTGGTGGTTTAGCGACGCCTTTTCAGTGCTGGCAAATTCACATATATTGCACGCGTACATGCCGTTGGTAGATTTGTTGTGGCTGGACGAATTGTGACCTTTAAGTGCCCGTAGATTGCCGAAAACGGTCGAGCATAGCCGGCACGCGTACGTGCGCTTGGCTTTTATGTGACCATTGCTATTTCTCTTATTGGCCGGCGAGTGTGACATGAAACCACCACCTGCCACTGACAGAGGGATCTCATCCTTGGGTGAACTGCCAAAATATGAGTCCTTGTCCGACGGATATCCGTCACTAAAGTCTGTACTACATGTCGAGTCGCCGTTATACGAAGACTTGACAGGTGTGACGTGCGCGCGTTCGGGACTGTTGTTGAACGACGTCGTTTTAGCCGGTGATTTTGCGGTAAAGGCCGTGTTGTTATTGTTATTATTATTACTGTTATTGTTGTTATTATTATTGTTGTTTATGCTGTTATTGTTGTTAAATTCACGATAAAACGTTTTGGCAGTCAGATTTTGTGGTTTTAAGTCCATGTGGACGGTCTGCAAGTGCAAACGCATACTGTACGTGGTCGAAAACATGGCGTTACACACTGGACACCGGCTTTCCCTTTTTGTATCCAACACGGAATTGCAGAACAACCGTTGTCGCAGATTATCTACACGCAACATTTCCGATGACATTTCAAACCTGAAACAGATGCGAATAATATATTATGAAAACCGAGACGATAATTCAAGTCCCGGTTGGTGGGTGGACGGGCGGTAGCTAGCCGTCGTATATATTGATTCGATGAGAGAACGAAATATATATGAGTATACATTAAATATATGGATAAGAAGAGGAGGAACAAAACGCCGACACGGGCCGTTCAAGCGATACATTCGGTCAGCATGGCAACGAGCGTATATATATAGTTACAAAAGTTCAACCGCCCTGGTGATGTACACACAAACAGCACAGCATACCTATTCGCTGGTGTGTGCGTATATGTGCGAGAGAAGAAAGGTCGACCGGTTAGAGTTCATTCGTCGTCATATATTTAAAAAATGTATGATACGCATGGCGTGTATATGCGCAGCTACAGCAAAACGTGCAATTATTATTAAATACAAAATTACGCGCATACACGTGTAATATACTCGTACATATTACCTATGGTCTGTACAGAAATATATATATATATATAAGAGGGGAGGCATACAAAATAATCGCCAGCAGGTGTTTGCATGTGGGTAAAACAAAAAAATAAAAAAACGTAAGCTAAAATATTCCGTTCGACTACTGTACTATACTGTTAAAATAGGTACAATTGCGGATCGATAGTCGTGACAACACCGCGAGAGTCGGGTCCGTCATTCACGCACTTTCCCGATGAGAAACACACGTTGAGTGAATTAACCCCGTCCGTTAGGTGCGATTATTACACATAATAGTATAATAATAATAATAATAATAATACACCCCGCGACGCGTTATAGTTGTTATCGACCATATAATAATAATAAAATATTTATATATATATATATAATAACGATCGACACAATGACGATATGATTATGGACCCGGGACCATGCAATACATACTTTATTATATAGGGGGAAAGAAGCAAAACAAATATATAGCCGCCAACACGTCAGGCGGGTGTGTGTTGACGTCGTTGGCCTTTGACACACCAGTAGGGGTCCGTCGTAGCTAGGGCTGCATCCTCCTCCCCCAGCACAAATCGAACAACAATAATCTTTTAATAACAATAATGCACTGGCGGCGCCTAAACCAGCGCACGAGCGCCCCGCCAATATAACAATATAATAACACCGCCCGTCATCGGGGGATGCGACGGCCACCGTGCCGCCACGAGTCCGGTTTGGAATTTCATATCTCCCCGAGGGACGGACGCTGCTGCTGCCTGCTGTCCGATTGTGTTGTCGTCTTTTCTGTTACTATATTATATTAAACGGTCTTTAATAAAAAAAAAAAGGCACGCATATACATTTCAATTAATTTAATCGGCCGGCAACGGGGTTAGAACCATATGTCCATCATATGGTTGATTACCGCCCACGAAAAACTGGCTTGGGTTACGTTAGTTTAATCTTTTAATATTTTTCGCATACCTATCCCATTTAAGTCGATTGAAAAACTTTTTAGTGAGAAAGCATAATCTATCGTGAAATTTAAACTCGAGTTTTACTGCAATATGTTTAAAATGTATTTGTAGCCTTGTTGCGTTTATAGGTTACATTAGTTTTGATAAAAAATTAATGATAAGCGTTTAAAGACATAGCCGTGCGCAGAACTTTGAAATAGGTACGGCATTATTTTTTAAATAGTAAATAAAAACAGAATTTTTTAGAGAAAGTTAGGAAACCGAGTTTCAAGGGATTAAATAGTAATACACAGATTACAGGTACGGAACAGGCTGTATATGTTTAAACGGGTTCAAATAATCGTAAATCAGACTTTTTTCATTAACGCAAGCTGTTATCATTTTATATTAATACATCGTATTAGATATATGAGGTATAAGAAAAATCTGTTTGATTGACGACGGTCGGTCGATTGCGCATATTGGGTTATTAATATTTCATTAGATAATAATAATAATAATAATAATCATGAACCGTAGCTTTCGATCCAATTATATAAAAGTATATTATATAATAGATTATTCGGCCTGCTGCAACGGAGGTGAATTGAATCGTGGTGGGTTTTTTTTTCATGACCCACACAGGTAAGCCACCAAAAAAACGGGTGAGGGCGTGTGTGCAGTGTACACATAAACATTATTGTTGTTACGTGTCCGCGGCCGCCCTTTTCAGCGGCTTCGTCGAGGGGATGTAGTCACCCCCATAGATACGACGTGTGTTTATGGAACACAACAATAATTTAACGACAGCTTCACATTTGTTATTGTTATTATTGAATAGCGGTTTGGAGGCCGAAAGCCGATCGGCGGCGCTAATAAGCCAATGTGCACGTGGTTGTTATATCATTGTTATCATAATCGTGGCGTTAAATCGTTAAAACAAAGTTTTATTTCACATATTGTGTGCATCTATTTAACTATAGGTACGCTAATTTCCATGGTTAATTTTTGTGTTTTAAATAACACTACAACTATTCTATACAAGTCAACATGTTTTTTAAATTTTGTTCTATCAGTGCGATTCTTAATAATATAATACATATATAATATTTTAATTAACTAATTTCATATTTAATTATATCGGTAGCAGAATAGTTTTCTGAAACTGTGGGTTTTTAATTAAAATCGGATGTTGAGCAAAAAGTGTTTCGTTGTAAGTTTAAGCATTTGAAGTTTAGATAAGTGGATAATTGTTTAGCCCCGTTTTAATATAAATATTCAAAAATACAAAATAGAACCAAATATTTGCTGAGTAAAGAGAATTGGCATAGTTTTATAGCGTTGGCTGTTTTCGTGGGATCATACACAGCTGCACACGCACGTTACACATATATTATATCGTATACGTATATTATAATTGTGTATTATTCGACGTTTCTCTAGGTCTTCCGGGCACAATGTTTTCGCGTCAAATTATAATATTTTCAAAGATGAACGAGTAATTATTGTTATCGCGTTCCGCGCTAAGTCGCGTCTGTACAATAATATTGTAACACACATACATGTATATATAGGAAGAAGGAAAACAACAATATATATGCGCGTATAATAATAATAATAATCTCACAAAACCTCGTGTGTGTGTGTGTGTGTATGTGTGTATGTGTGGTTACAGGACCGGTGAACCGTACAAGGCGAGCACGCATGTAGAAGACGTCGCTCGTATATAAAATAATATAATATAATATTGTGTTTATACTTGCGAGCTAGTCTGGGCACGATAATTGCGTATGCGCACGACGGTCGGGATTTTTCCCAAGGTATACTACTCCTACATTATAGTCTCCTCTGTGTGTGTGATCAAATATGGCGACGGATGCTGGTCATTGATGGGAAACAAAACGCACACACACACACACGCGCGCGCGCGGGGGACGTATAATAAAGGTCTTTTGTACCCACACGCTCGCGTACTTATGAGCAGTCATGGAGGACACGGTAATAATAATTATAAGCCCGCCGCCGCCCGCCCTCTCGCGAGAGCAATTTATAATAGTGAGCGCGGTGGGGCGAAGACCAGTCGTTTTTCTCAAGATCGTCCGGTGGCGATTACGTCTTGCCCTTCCCCCTTCCCCAGCCATACGACAAAAAAATAAACCTGTGCGTGTTCTTCTCACCCGCGGGTCGACTCATACATAAAAACTATTTATGTAAACATTATAATATAGTATTATTATTATGTTTACCGATAAACGCGATCATCCTTTCCTAAGTCCGGTTTTTCTTTTCCAATTGACAATGACTGGTTTATTTGTAAATACAACATAGAAATCGTTTAACACGTCATCGTTAACATCGGTTAGCACACACAAAATCTCAAGTCCCAGCTGAATTTCAATATGTTTATTTCTACCGTTTTGAATACATATTATCGGTTAATGCGAACAAACTACATGGTCCCTTTCATGTCGAATTAAGTACATACTGTACGTCTGTACTTAAATTATTAGTTATGATCGCGATAGAATATTTTTTATTTCCATTTTCCTACACCTCATTCAGAAAGATTTTTTTTCGTTGGCTACTCTGCAACACAGAGGTCGATCATTTAAATGACCCAAAACAAATTAGCTATAGTAGACAATTTGATATTATGTAACATATAATATCATTTTATGATATTTTCACAAATATAAACAAATTAAATTTCAAAATGTTTTTGGAAAAATTAAAACAGTAATAAAATAATTGGAAAAACTGTGCCTCGACTACACCAATCTCATGATACGCTGTATTCTTCGATCATTCATAGTCCATACATCATGATGTCAGTTAAGTCAAACATTTTATTTATATATCATAAACTATGATCATCGCTCGCGATTTGTCTACTTCCTCAACGATTAAGAAGATAAATTTTCAAAATACTAATTAATTATAATCATTGTAATATTATGCGATATTATGTATGTGTATTTTCTATAAATATTAGTAGATTCAGTCGAAACACGCAGTGATTGAGTTGTGGCAAAGCGCCGTTTTAAGTTTTCAATTGGATTTTGTTTAAGTCAGTAATTCGTGTTATCGTTAACTTGGTGTCTTGGTACGTCCTCAGTTACCTACTCGCGCCAGGAAAGTATTTGTGTTTTCAATATCGACCAAAAAGCTGCTTTGAGTGTATAATATACTTCACATACTATTAAGATATTGTCAATATTTTGGAAAGACAAATCGTTTGTTTGCGTTTCGACAATCGTTACACTCACGCACTATAAATATGTATATATATATAAACTATATACACCGATATCGTATATACATATATATTATATATATGTAACAATAATATGTATAACGCAGTCGAACATAAGCACCCGTGACCTTCGATCGAAGATTTTTGGTCTTTGATGTTTATTTTTCGTCTCCGGCAATAAATTATAGATTATTATCGTACGATATTATGACTTTGATAAACGTGGTGCAACCGCATGCATTTATTCAGTGTGCATATATATATGTATATTATTATAGGTAAGTAATAGTAGCTGGTATAACGCATAATATTATTATAATACGATGGCGCGCGCCAGACGACCGATCT